TTCCATGCTTCAGAGGTTTACAGTAGCTTCTTATGCCAGTACCTATATCAATCTGCAGTTGAATGCTTGGCCGTCTTTTATTCATTTTCTTAAAGTTTTGCAAAATCTCATTTACTCTGTCATTGATTTGTGATCTTTTGCTGTCTTAATTTCTCATGTCTTAATATCATGAATTATTTCGTTCACTTCGCAATTTTACGGCTGATGGTGGCTGTCCATGTTCCGAAGATACTTTCTGCAGTTTCTGTAATTCACACTTGTAATCCTGGTGTAATTCTACCGTTGTGTATCCCAAGTACTGATAAGAAAGGATAAAGGTTTGGGATCCTAGTGAAGTCTCCAGTGAAACTAAGCAGCCAGCGCCTCATGGTATCGTTGCTATGGAAGGCTATACTGACTGAAAGGTTCATCACTCTGCTTACCAAGGGCAGCGCAGGCTGTGAGGGGCTGAGATAGACTGCGGAAAGCTTGCGATCAGAACCTGCTTAATGCCTTCTGACAGCTTCTAACACGAAAATAACAAGAGTACCGGCTATCAACGAAGTCACTACTCAATCCGAAAGGAGGATGCAGACAGTGTAACGTCATTACAGCATGTAAGTTGCGATCAGACTGGAACGATGGTGAGATTAAGAGATAGAGCAGAAGCTAGTGGATGAGGCCTCAGGGTAACGATTGGATATAGTTGGACTCTAATCAGCGAACGCCATGGCTTCTGAATTTTGAATCTTGGCGGATGGGACCTGTATTTGTAATGTGCCGACCGTATGAACCTTACTCGAGCCGGTGTTGGTGTTCTAGTATGACTCGACTTGTGTAACTGATAGTCATCTTGCCATTACCATTGCATTTCGAGTTGTTGAATTTAAAAGTTTTCTGGTTTTGTTTTAAGCTTATAATTTAGATTGTAAATTAAATTTTATTGCGACCAGCCAAAAACGGGGTAGCACACCGTTTACTTGCGAATAACAGGACAACATTGTGTCTTTAGATTGAGAAGTCACAGCTGCTATGATTTGTGCACGTGTTGCTAATGCTGTCAGAAAGGAAAGGAAAACAGTTACTACTTACTCGCCTGATCGGCCAATGATTCCGTGAACTGTCAAGAATGACCTGAGGCAAATGTCTTGACTGACTCTGCTTCAGACTCTGATTATCTTCTGCCGAAGCTCAAATGCTGGCACAAGATCGGGAACGTTGGAAGCACTGTATTATGTTTCTGCATCCCCTTTTTTCTTGACTTTGCTCAATGCAGGGCTTTGTTTTCTTCCCAGTTGCTTCCTTAAACCAGAACCTCGTTCCACAATGAGTCAGTAAACAATACGAAAAGAATGCGAAGATTTTGTAACATCCACCATTTCAATAACATGCTCCATCTTCTGATGGTCAGAAAGTACCGGCATCATCAAAGGAAGACGCTGCCGGTGCAGGCATGTCAAGGAGGCATTGATGATTCAGTCCTGCGACAATTTTCAACCGTGACAAAAGATACGAACTCTGTGCGAATTGGTTGATCTTTTTCTCATGTCGCCTAGAAACTGTTTAACCAGATGCACAGTCAAGAACCTGTCTTTCTGTCTGCAAATCTCCCAAGCGTTGCGAACGATGACGGAACTTCCAAAGTCAATCAGTGAGCCTTCCTGCTCTGAAGAAGGCTCGGTTGACACGGGCTGAAATATCTTTACTGATCAGCCCATAAGATTGACCGCATTTTTGCGTTGTGATTTATCAAACCATGTGTTATGGCCACTGACGCACGAACAAAATACTCAGCGTTTATCTGACTTAGTTAAATCATTAGCACACTTCTTAGGTATAGTATGATTTGTTTCCATATTTTGCCTTTTTAGATTCCATCAATGCCAGAGGTGAAATCTGTTGATGACCCTTTGGGGCACAACGTCTTCGACGACATGATTGAGTCGCCGAAGCGGAAGAGTTTTGGAAGACTCTTTCCAAAAGGAGGACAAGCTGCTAAAAAAGCCAGAACTGTGAGTCAGTTTCCAGCATGTCATTCTCTTTCGTGTTGGATTATGAAGCATATTTTTATATATGTTAAACGTATCAGGCCAAAATGTGTCCATAAAATGGATTATATCGATACAGAGCATCATTCAAAGCCTTACACCATAGTTTTTGTGATTTTTCTTGTTACTGTCATTTTTCTTGCCGGAGTTTGATGCTGGTGAAAGTCTGGCAAATATCGTGCTTAAGGAGATCTCGTGATATTTCATATATTGTGAATGGTGCTTTTTTTTATCCCACAGTTGTCCTCATCACTCTATAGTTAAACTGGCAGAGAAGGAACAGCGACTTAAGCTGTGAATGGACGTCACGACATGGTTTAAGATACGATGGAGTGTACTCTTCTTTGTGTTGATAAGATAAAGCTTACGGCTCTATTTTGATGGCGAATATTTGCAAGGACGCGAGGTAATGCAGTCTGTTTTCTAGCGTTAGGTCTGTGTCATTTTCATCGTTAAGATGTGCAACCGACTCATGGATAAGATAACGGAACAATGTTAGTTTAGCGTCGTATTTGACCGTGACGAATGAGAGTGGCCAGATTTTACACGTGTAAAGAACTTTCTTTGCGAATAAAGACGAAAATTTGCGCTGCTGCTTTTCCACCTTAAATTTTTCCCCATAAATTTTTCTCACATGTTTGAGAATGACCCAGAAATGACTGAATTCTCTAAAACTCTTCACGTATCTTTGTCATGTCATGCTGTTTCTTTACTCACATCAGTGGTGAGTTTTAAGCTGTATGTATCTGTGGTTTATATTTAGAGGAATCACTAACTTTTAAAATTCTGTAATCAGCTGTTCCGAATCCCTGTTTGATTATGTATTCATTTATTTTCATTATTTGCTATTTTTTCACGCTCCTTCAGGAAGTGTTTTCAGTTGTCAATTTTTCGTTTCCTCTGTTAGTCGGCAAGGTAAGTGGATTGTGTTCGAATGATCAACTAAATCGGACCATCTAATTTTTAGGGCATGGAACCACAGCTACGTAGCAGGGGGAGTGGAGTTGTTTGAGCGCTACCTATTTGTCGGTTTGGCTACAGAGAATTTTGCCAGGAGTTATTTACTACCAGTGCTACTCCAGTGAAGAGTGTCTTTTTAGGATCACTGAGATACGCAGTCCTGTCTCTCCAGACCAACTTGAACTTTATTCAAGAGTTCTTTCCACTTATATCGTATGTTTTAATGTAACAAGATATCTTTTTATGATTTTAGATGCAGCGTGATGGCTCCGTGTTTTTTAGCACTTGCAGCGCGTGGGCACAAAATCACACCACTTTGTTTAGTCAAATAATAGCCTGTTATTTCGTTCCCTAGGGTTATATAGTCAATGTAAAATTGATCTCCGTATTTTGGGCTTACTGGAAATCTCCTGGTTTTAAATATGCTTGAATCCGGTGAAGTAATGGGAAATTATTTTTTAACAGCGGTGATGAAAACAGATAGTTTTCTGCGAAACCCATTATACTTGGATTAATTTTTTATTATGCACACCTACAGATAGAAGTATATCCGATGGTGTTCAAACAGGTTATTGTTAGGCCACCGAAGTGGTGCAGTTATACTTTGATGCACTGCAGGTGCTAATGTACCTTAGAGTCGTGGCCTGCTTGAGTGGTTCCCTAGGCTACTGTTATAAGCGGCGGAACAGAAGACTGCGCCTGTGAATGCGTAGGAGTGATAGAGATTGCTATTTGTTTTTTGTATTTTGTTTCTGGCGATATAGAAAACTATCAGTTTGCTACTGAACCCAAAATACCATGGTTAATTTTTATTTCTATTGATTCATAAACGATGTTCTTGATTTCGCAATGGCTATCGCATTGTTGGATCTGTTCTTTTGGCACTGTTGAACCATCAGCTTTTCGTCTTTTGGGTTCTTCATACGTGACTGTTTATTTTGTTTCTTTCGAATACCTTGCTGCGTCTGCATATGTCTGAAGTACTCAGTTCCATGAACTGAAAATTTATCTTTTAGGTACATCTAAAGCAGTCTTCACTCCTCACCGTCGTTGAGTCCGAAAATGGTCCCAAAAAAACGGCTGACAAGACCCAAAGGTTATAAATTATTAATTACATAATAATATTCAGTCTGACTCTGTTTTAACGCAGGCCTTTGTCTGGTTTTTGTCTGTGGCTGAAAGAAAATAGGCAGGATCTATTGGGCAAGTTTAACGGTGACCCAGAAGACGAAATCGAGTTTAACACTTTTGCGGTCAAACGTTTTCGGCAACTTTCAAAAGAAGATATTCAGGTTATTTTCTTATATTAATTCGCAAATTATTTGTTTAACTTTATTGTGTTAATTGAATTTATTTCATTCTACGTTTTTGTTTTAGTTTTAAATCGATAGAAATCGTCACTGTATATAGTGTGAT